CACACACACACACACACACACACACACACACACACACACACACACACTTTATGTGCACACATACAGGAGTGCACACAAATAAGGGCATAAACGAATAAACAATAAACTGATATGTATTTGTAAATAATATGATTAGAACGAATATTATATACACGTATTGTCGAACACTAGAACACAAAAGAATCTTCATTTGTAATTTTTGGCAATAATCATGAAAAGGCACTTTATAAAGAATATAAAGACTTCTTTTCAAAAACATCATTGCATCACACAGACCACTCAAACCAACGAGCAATTCACTGGTATAGATTCTTTTTAAAAAATTTACCCCGACCACTCGTCGCACGGCTGCCAAGTATGACGTCAGCTAGCGATGGAGAGAGACGAACGGACCAAAATTGCCTCATTTGCATATTCACAGCCGAGTGGAAATTGTCTTTGAGTGTGTGTCGAGGGGCCAAAGTGCGAAAATATTCGAATTTTGGACGTTGTATTGCTAGCATCAGAAATAGATTCAACAGCCAGCCAAAAAACCCCAAACAGGTCACATAGCGTTACTCATAGAAATTGCAATTTTCCCACTTTGATCCAAGGGCTGAAATGCAAAGCATCGGAGTTCAGCAAAAAGTAAGCATCTGTCGCTTCTATAAATGTGAGGCAGCGTGGTGGAATCAGGCTCTCGTCAATTTTTGGTCATGTAGAGTTATTGATATCATCGTAAAGCTTGTTCACTTTTCTTTATTTGGATTTTAAAAATATTCATCTATCTTGAATACAAGTCGAGATATTTGGAAAGAAAGGAGGTGAGGGTCACCTGTTTTCAGAGGTAAAATTAGTGAGAAAATGGCCGCCAAAGATTAGTTATTTCCTTAGCTTAAGAGTCCGTGGTAACTGAAAATTTACATTTGTTGTGCCTATAATCAACGTTTTTAAGAAAAATCCACACAGAAATGACTTCTTTAATGGGCATGAAAGATGTTGAGCCAAAAACAAAAAAAAATTGATAAAAATTCACAAACCAACAGAAAAAAGCAAGTTTCTTCACTTTCATTATTTTGACGAGAGCCTGATTCCACCACGCTGCCTCACATATCCTTACGAGACAAGCACTGGCTTAGAGAATTCCACCGACGAATTGTTCATACATTGACTTTACACAGGGCGTGTTTCAGGTTTCGCTCACTCATTTGGTACTCAAAGCAATGTATACAGTTTGTTTGTCTGAGTAGGTGTTTTACGGCACAATCGACTCAGTTTTGGTAAAATAAAATATACAGTCATCATTCACACCAATGAAACAATCAAATTTATAAAGGAAAACAGTACTTCATGGAATACAGAGAACAAACATATTGTAGCAAGCTATATATGTGTAAGTTCATCAACCACTGTCCCTTAAACTGTGAATATAACTCCCCATTTCTTCAATGAAAGATTATTGTAAGATGGACGATCTTAAATTTCACTACTCTCATCTCAGACAGGCACTAGCCAAGTGGATTCCCCCCCCCCCCCCAAATATCTTGGGTTTTTTTTTACACCGCTATCAGTACCTACAATTTAGACCATTCAAGAGACGGGCTTAAACCCTACCACCCCGGGCGAGAGGGATACAACACTTCAGGAGAAAAACCAAGATACTCCAGTTTTACATTCAAATATTCAAGTCTTCAACCAAGATACTAGATAAAAATTCTCCTCACCCGGAAGTCAAACTCGGGTCCCCTGTTTGCGATTGATGATTGATGATTGGGAAGATGTTTTACAGCACTATCGACACAATTTTGGTCCCTGTGTGCGACGGCGAAGCGCCTAACCTCTTGACAACAGACGCTGATGCCGAGTGGAAAAATGGTCGCTTTTAAGCATAAGGGGGCTATCCCAAAAAAATGCTGTTTTGAGAAAATCGAAGGTAAAGTTTTTGCCTCTTGTTCAATTTCTTTAAAATACAAGGAGAGTTTTCTCTTTAACCAAACACGCACACAGATTAAATCAAACTTCTCATATACGTTGAACAATGTCCACTTTTGGTGTAGGTCAAGATTTCTGGAAACCCCCGAAATCTGGGTTAGTCCGCCTGTCCTTAAAAGCGACTAAATATCCCAACAACTCTTCTATCATCGTAAGTTCATAACTGCTTCGTTGACGATTCGAACCACGACTATCCATTTTGAGGCCAAGCCCATTTCACAAAGTCTATTGGAATGTCAAACTACCATGTGTGTTCATTTACTTGATTGTAACATATTCAATTTATAAGGTTAATGTATGTCTCCCCCCCCTCTCTTTAACACACACAATCCCCCAATACGTGAACTTTTGTTTATTCATGGCATCTGTTATGTACATGATACGATCACAAATACACACACAGCCACATACACAAACAGCCACACACACAAATACACACACACACACACACACACACACACACACGCACACACACACACACACACACACACGTACACACACACGTACACACACATTATTGTATCTGAACAGAGAAAAACGACAGCTGATGCAGACAATAGGAACAAGCTAGTTAAAGATAACAAATCTCACTGCTACAAAAGACTTGTCTGAAAGCAAAATAATTACATGGATTTTTAGCATGGTCTCGGCAGTATCAACATAGTTTGTATGGAAGGGTTTGGGACAGAAAGAGGGGGAAGGGACTTTCAAGAATGATGATAGATTGAGATGAATGAAAAGGATTTATGCCTGTATCGACATACGTTTGGTCACATCGATGAGAAAGAGAGTATGGTACAACATTCCAGCAGAGGAACAAACACGATAATAAAATACACTTTTTCAAACGCGAATTGTTTCTTTTCGTTTCACATTTTTTGGCGCTTGCAACTGCATAAGGTCATATCAAACGTGAATCAAACTCACCTCTTTTGAGTTTAAGTGCAACGAAGCAGAGCCTAACCATTTCACTACATATACTGATATAAAATAAACAGAGACTGCAGGGAAAAGGAAAAAACTATGGCCTACCAGTGGCATTTTCCAACTACCCACTGGCTAATGAAACTGAAACAGGTATGAAAATGAATGTAGAGAGATTTCAAAAACGATGGTAAAAAATAGAGAAGTGCACAACCAGCAAGCGTATAGAAATGCCGTAATAATCTCAGGGTAACTACTTCGATTGCTACAGTGGTAGTCTTATGGGATTGTCTTCTTTGTTTCGTTTGAGTGAGTTGAGTAAAGAGAAGCACTTCGACATAATAGTGCTGGGGAAAAAATAAAACAGGCAGATAGAAAGAGCGGAGGAAAAGGAAAGAAGTAGGACCTACCAGTGGCGCTCTCCAACCACCCAGTGGGAGTGTCTCTCCTGAAGAGAAGAAGTTCCTTTTAACAACGTGGAGGATGCAAACTTTCACCCAGCAAATTTAACTTTAGTATGTCAACCTCTACTTTTACAAACACAGTCATGTAAAAATGAGGGTGATGTTCTTACAACATGTACTTCTTATAAGTACATTGTCCAGTACTTTCATAACTCCTCATACCGAACATTAAGGGGCCAGGTCCTCTTCCTACCTTTAAAGATTATTTCCATTAATTTAAATGATTCTCTATTTATATATATAGTATAAATATATTATTATTTTTTTTTTGCTCGTAGGAAGATTAGGATAAAAAGCGGCATTATTCCAATAATAAGAACAATAATCTGTCAGGTCAGATCAACTCTTATGGGACTAAGGCATTCTTTTCTCCCAATACTACGTGGTGCAATCCCAGTATACCGTGTGGTCGTCAGTTTCAGTTTGAGGAAAGAGAAGCACATCGACACAGAAATGGCCATTCAGGGCAGTGAAAAAGTAAGACAGACAGAAACGACAGACGGAAAGCAAAGAAGTGAGATTTTTCAATGGCATCCTCAAACCACCCACACAGTGTGGTCTGAGGAGAGACAAAGACATGTTCTGATCTTGTGTACCTGTCAGCGGTGACTCGCCCGAGCGGCTCGTGTGTATCAAAGAGGGCTTACATGCACAGACGAGTGACACATTGATATCTATTGAAGTAGAAGAAAGCAGGCCATCCAAGACTGAAGATAGTCAGTGTACTGGAGTAGGAAAGCTAGAGTCTAACTGTCGTTGCAAAGCTGGACTGTGAAGAAAGCAGTTTATCCGTCGATAACGCATGAAGCTACCTGGGGGGAGATGGACAGGGAGGGGTGGGGTGGGGGTGGGGTGGGGTGGAGAACGTAAATAATCATTGCCAGAGGACTAATTTCTGTTGTTGGTACTTGTAGAGACATTTAGCTCTGAGGAACTGGGTCGTCTACAGATGAAATCTGGAGATCTACATAAGTTGAGAAAATAGTGTCCGGGGCCATTGCAGAAAGAAGGTCATCTGCAGATGAAGGAAGCAGGTCTACAGATGGTAATAAAATAGTCTCTGTAGACATTGAAGAACGTAGGTCATCTACTGCAGAAGATTGGGGGGTCAAGCTGAGGCTAGGATGCTAGCAGACGTTGGGGCAATATCATCTGCAGATGTTGACATTAACTCATCTACAGCAGAGGACTGGGTCGGCGCAGGGTCAGAAGAACTGGAGTCCATTAAGGAAGTAGAGTCAAGACCCGCGGCTGAGTCAACGACTGAGCTGGGACCCGAAGCTGTCAGAAAACTGGAGTCCGGTGTAAGAGCAGGAGTGGATGAATCAAGGCTAGGGCTGAAGTCCATAACCAGGGAAGAGGCTGGGTCAATAGACAGAGATGGGCTTGGGTTTGTCGTGTCAGCTGAACTACTGTCCGTTACCGAAGTCGAAAAGATCTGCTCTGTACCTGAAGGGGTAACATTCAGTACAATAGAACTTGGTTGCAAGAAATCAGAACTCTGATCCGAGTAAACAAAACTACTTGATTCAAACTCAGTGGCTGGAACTGACTCATCAATTGAAGCGCTAAAACTGGAAGGTGTGACAGAAGTTGGCTCTACTGAAAGAATTGTGGCTGATTCCTCGAGAAAAAAAGAACTACTGTCGACAATAGAATCAGACGGAGAGGCTGTTTCTAGAAAGTCTGAGGAAGTCGGTTCGAAGACAACTGATTCACTTAAGTCGGCAGATGTGGATACGCTTGATTCGACGACTGAAAATGAAGAGCTAGAAGGTGTGAGGAACGATGCGCTGGACTGTGCTTGAATAGCGGATGAAGACTCAACAGCAACAACAGAGCTTGTTTCTTCAGATGACAGTGAGAGCTCTACGGCTGAGGAGGAGACCGGATCTGCATACACAGAAGTTTGGCTCTCGTCGACAGAACTTGGAGTTATAAACACCGATGTAGCTTCCACTGAGTTGGAATCGGAATTCATAAAAGAAGCCATCAGCGAAAAAGAGCTTTCCATACCTAAACTGGGAGACGCTGAAACCTCGTTTTCAGAGGCGCTTGGCTCCATGTTTGAGGAAGAAACTTGGGCATCTACTCCTGAGCTAACTTCCACCACGACAGAGGAACTCGGCTCAAAGAAAGAGGAAGATGTGGGTTCAATGACAAACGAGGAAGATGTGGGTTCAATGACAAACGAGGAAGTGGCTTCACTTATAAACGAAGAACTGCTTCCAACAGGACTAAGGGGAGTTGATTCGACCTCAACATGTGTACTCTGCGACTGGGCATCAGAACTTTCGTCCAGTGCGAACGCCTCAGTTACTGCAGTAGAACCCAATTCTAGCATATCAGAAGAACTTGCTTCAATCAGTTGGGAAGAACTTGCTTCAATCAGTTGGGAAGAACTTGCTTCAATCAGTTGAGAAGAACTTGCTTCAATCAGTTCAGAAGAACTTGCCTCAGTTACTGCAGTAGAACCCAATTCTAGCATATCAGAAGAACTTGCTTCAATCAGTTGAGAAGAACTTGCTTCAATCAGTTGAGAAGAACTTGCCTCAGTTACTGCAGTAGAACCCAATTCTAGCGTATCAGAAGAACTTGCTTCAATCAGTTGAGAAGAACTTGCTTCAATCAGTTGAGAAGAACTTGTTTCAGTTAGTTGGGAAGAACTTGCTTCAATCAGTTGAGAAGAGCTTGCTTCAGTTACTGCAGTAGAACCCAATTCTAGCATATCAGAAGAACTTGCTGCAATCAGTTGAGAAGAACTTGCTTCATTTATTTGGGAAGAACTTGCCTCAGTTGCTGCAGTAAAACCCAAATCCAGCATATCAGAAGAACTTGCTTCAATCAGTTGAGAAGAACTTGCTTCAATC